GAGGATTCGAATGAATCTTGTCATAAGAAGGCTTAATAATAAGCTTTCCTATAGAGCAGGTTTGATATGCGATTCCTTGAATTGAACCTAAACTTCAGGTTTGTGGATGCCCGTGTGATGATTTGAGGATACAGCGCATCACTGTTCATCCAGGGTGTCCCAAACGATCATGCCAAAGTGTATTTGCGTGCACGGTACCAGAGGTAGAGCCGGCCACATAGTGGCTTTTTATTAGGTGTATGGTTGTAGTATACAGACCACTCAAGATTCGCTTCATCTTCTCTAGAATACGCTTCTGGCCATATTTGTAGGAAGTTATGCACAAAAATTTAAGTCCGTTTTCTACATAGGTTTCAGCATGGTAATTATTATCTCTAATATCCTTGAAACTCAACAACGTTCTTTCAAAATGCGGAGAATAAAGTGCCTCATCAATGGTCAAAATTGTGCCATTTGACAATATTATACGTGCCTTATCGTATCCTTTGATCAGGGTGGATAGGCCTGAGAAGGTTGTCAGAGGTGCATTCTTAGGTATGAAGTTAGTGAAATAGATGCGTTCATACAAAACAGTGTGCATGGTTGCACTATTTGCCAGACAACTAACTTTTCCACTAGTCATACCTAGAATAAAATTTAATTTGAATCGGTCACATGCATAAAAGTTCTAAAAACAAATATCTATTCAAAATAATTTTAAGTATTCAAGGATGGTAATTAATTAGAAACTTAATGTCCAAAAAAATCACCAACAAATAATCCAAACATAAATGAAAATTGTTCAAAATTAAACCAAAAACAAAGTGGGGGGTTCGGCCCCATTGTCTAAATTTCAACTAGAAAAATAATTTATGTCTAAGATTCTAATCTTCCATAAGGGTGGTATCCTCTTGAAAGTTAGAAACCTCCATTGCGGTACTATCTGTTTTATCCACTTGCACAAAGTTTGATTCAAACTTCTTATGACGAGAATGACATTCAGCTACAACCTTCTGGGGAGCTCAGCAAACACGGTACCAATGGTCCTTCGAACAATAGCGATAACACATGTCCACATCCATGGTTTCAGGTGCTTTGCTCTTATTCTTGAAGTTTGGGACCTTGAGAGCGAGATTAGGGCGCTTCGGGGCTCGATTTCCTCCCTTAGATGGGCCTTAGCCCTGTTGACCTTGATACGGTGGCTTCTGGCAGCCCCTACCACACCTACGTTGGCGTTTTGGGCATTTGTTTGTGCTATAATGTGCTTCAAGCATAGTAGTCGCCAAAGTAGGTCCAGCTTGATGATTTTTCATCAACAACTGACTCTGCTTTTCAGCGAGAAGTAAAACAAAGATAAAATCTAAAACTTAGTGAAATTTTGAGCCCTATATTATTGACGCAGGACAACATTAGTAGTAAAGAAGGTCAAATAGGTCTTTTCAGGAGATCCTTTTCAGCCAAGATCTCGTTACAGAACTTGAGAAGTGATCGAATTCGACAAACTTCAGAATTATATTCATTCATAGATTTAAAGTCTTGGAAGCACAAATGCTGCCAGTCATGTCTTGCTTCAGGCAAGAAAATGTCCTTTTGGTGATCAAAGCGATCAGCCAAAGCGACCTATAGTGCTCATGGATCCTCCTCAGCAAGGTACTCAGTTTGCAGTGCATCATGAATATGTCTTCGCATAAAGATCGTGGCAGTGGTTTTCTTAGCTTTGCCAATAGGGTTGTCCGTCTCATCTTTAATCGCGGGAAACAAATTCTTTGTAGTGGGGTGAAGCTTCATATCTTGGACCCTCTTGAGGTAGTTCCTTCCAAAGAAGTCTAAAACGGCGAGGTCAAGTTTGTTCAAATTCGACATGTTCCTATCACAAAATAGATGGACAAGATGTGGTTAGTGTAATGGAGAAAAAAAAAATCAATCCATTCACATAGGAGTAAAATATTAAGGTTCCAACAGACATGTATTAGTTTAAATTCACATGAAAAAACTTTGGGTCTTCGTGGATGATGTTTTTAAGAAAAACTTCAGGTTTTCAAACAAGGCATGCTTCTAGAAACTTCAGGTTTCGAAATAATTATGAACTTCAGGTTTATATGTTCCTGCAGACAACGCAAATATATATACAAAAATATGCAACAAGAAAATATGCAAATAGAACTTCAGGTCTATAATTATAATTAAATTAATTATTTAGACTTCGAGCCAAATTTAAAGTGTGGGTGAAAAAATTATAAAACCCAAAAGTGCCTAAAAAATAGGCAATTAAAACTCGGGGCCCAAAAATTTGGACCAAAGCCCACTGGTGGGCTGAGTGAACTGGTGCGTGAGGTTTAGGCCCAAAACTGGGCTCAGGTAGGCACGAACTGATCATGCCCTAAATAGAATTTAGGCTGCAAGCCTAGTAGCAGCAAACGAGCTGCAAGAATAAGATCCTAAACATAGACTTATATGGGCACCGATCAGATACGGCGCGGTGCAGGTGCACCGATGCACCAGCTGCAGGCTGAGATTCGATGTGTTGCAGCGCAGAGAGTCCACAACAGTCGCGTAGGCTGGGTTCCACTACAAGCCCAATTGGGTTGGCGTCGTTCGCAGACCGAGGGAAGTGTCCAAGCCCAAAGGGTTGATACTTACCGAGAAATAGGCCAAGCCCAAGTGGGCTTGGGTTTTTTTATCCAAACATCCCAGCGCGAACTGGGTGAATTTGTCGTAGGAGAAGACTGGCACCACCACTTCAGGTGGTCATGTCGCGGTGCAAAAAATCATTACGATGGTCGTGGGTTCAACGGCAACCTATAAATTTGAAAGGAGAGTGAAAAATTCTCAACATTGTAAAACCCTAGAATTTTTATTTTAATTTTAAAAAAAAAAAACATCGAAATTCAAGCAAGGACTCATCAATGACGACTTTAGGTCGTCGGGGAAGTAGTTAGAGGTGGCTGGGCATAGCTGTAAGCCATGCTACTCGATGGTTCAAGGGAGGCGGCACTATCTAGGCGTCGAGTTTAGGGTTTGGGCCTGTAGCTGTGGCTCCAGGTTCGACTTTTTGGCTCGGGGGAAAAAGAAGCCCATCGACATGGATGGGTTTTCAAAGAAACCCTAAAAATTCTTTATAATTTTTTTTCAATTCCATATTAATTCAATGCATATTCAGATAAATAATTTAATGCATGAACAGATATTTGATGTAATTCATGGCAATATCAAATTCATATAATTCAACAATTATGGATATAATGCATATACAATTTATGTAGAATCTAAAGGGGGTGTAGTCAAACTAAGATTTGGTAGGATTTTAATAGACTTTAAAATCTGGGTGTAGTCGATTAGAGTTTTAAAAGATGATTTTAAAAGATTTTGAAATCATGGTGTAGTCAAATTAGGATTTAAAAATACAATAAATTCTAGGTATAGTGAGAATGTCAAAGATTTATTAGGATTTTAATGGGCAAGGGATTTTGAGGGATTTGAACCCTACCACGTGTGATTTCTTTTCACATTCCTCATAGAAGTGGAACAGTTTTGTCTCTCATCTTCCTTTATCGCCACAAGGTATTGCAGTATCTTTATGAAACTACAAAACTATTTGGGTGTGGCCAAATAGAAAATTCATGATCTGTTATTCTTCTGTTGTATCTTTATGAAACTTGCAATTTAATTTTTTTTAAAGATTCAGGAAAATTAAAGGCCTAAGAAAGTTGTAGGTATTATACATATCCTTCTATACTCCACGGAATGCCTTTATACATTTGTTTTGCCATGCTTTATGGGATTGTATAACTGTCTTTTGCAATTTTTTTTTCCTTCCACTTGTTTCTTTGTAATTCTATGTAGCAAGGTAATTTTCATGGATTTAAAAGAACTTATAGAAATGAAAAATTCAACATCTTTTGGGAAAAGTTGATAGAAAGTGTATCTATGAATCTGCGTTCTCTTTATGTATGGAACATAGAGAAAACAGACCTTAGGAAACATTGTGCAACTGAGTCATGAGACTTAGAGTTCTTATTTGCAGCCAGTGTTGGCATCCTTAAATGTCTTTTGAATTGCCGATTTAAGATATACAGTTTAGGAAGATCTTGGGTTCTGTAAGATTATTCATTAGAAGATTTACATGATCTTTGAAAATGGACAACTGGTATTGTGAGGACAAGTTGATCGAATAGTATTGAAAGGATGAGGTATATGTGCCTTGTGCCCTTGCAGATTTGAGTGGTTTCTGAGGATCTTTTAATAGGGTTCTTTTGATTTAGTTGTCTTGCTCTACTATTCTTCTTAAGTTGTTTGCATTGGGTTGAGTTTTATGCTTAATGTCATGTGTTTATTGGGTTTCCTGAATAGGTATTGAAGCCACAAAAAATGAAGATGTGCGTGGGATGAGTTTATCCTATATATTTGTCATTTAGTTTGTTATGTTTTGATTGAACATGTGCATATCTCTTCATGTAGGAATTATTTGTACATTATATGCTGGTAGTGAGGAAATTATAATCTCGTAATGTTATGTGATAGATCATCCCACACGCATTGGGTAGTTTATATAATGTCTCAATCAAGCATGGAAGTGGAAGGTGGGGAAGAAATGGAAGTGGACGAAGTGGATGAAGAAATGGAAGTGGAGCAAATGGTGGAAGAACAAATTGAAGAAGAAGAAATTGATGAAGAAGAAATTGAGGAAGAAGAACTAAATGAAACCATTAAATATTTATTGATGGCGATTCAAGCTATAGTCCACATGCTAAAAGAGTTTATAATTACATTTGGACAACCTATTGAACGTCCTTTTAAATCGACAATCAATTACTACGGAAGGATACAATTATATACATAAAGTACTGAAAGAAGACCGCCCAGAGGATTTCCGGCAAAGGTATAGAATGTATCCTGATGTGTTTGTGAAGTTATGCACTATTATTAGAGAAAAAACACTTTTACGAGATACAAAATTCATTTGCATAGAAGAAATGCTTGCAACAATTTTGCTTATTGTTGGACACAATAGTAGATATTGTCTCCTCCGTGATACGTTTGGGCAATCACATTGGACTACCAGTAGAAATTTTAACAAAGTTTTGAAGGCCTTGAACACAATAGCACTGGAGATGATGGCCAAACATGGATTAGCAGTGCTATCTAAAATAAGGGAAAGTACGAGATTTTCCCCTTACTTGAAGGTACGTATAGTGTGTTTTTTTTGTTTTTTTATTTATTTTGTATCATTCTAATTTATTCCAAATGATAAACTTAACACTATTTTAGGATTGTATTAGAGCTATTGATGGCACACATATCCCAGCATCAGTGTCCGGATACAATGTAAGCAGTTATCGTAATCGTAAGGGTGTCATATCACAAAATGTATTAGCTGCTTGTAACTTTGATTTGGAATTCATGTACGTCCTTAGTGGGTGGGAAGGATCGTCTCATGATTCAAGAGTTCTTAATGATGCTTTGACAAGAAGGAATGGACTTAAAGTGCCACAAGGTATCAAATTATTATTTATCATTTTTATTATTATTAATTTCTCATTAATCGATTGAGTTGCATACTAAAATATATATTATCAGGGAAATTTTTTATAGTAGATTGTGGATTTCCAAATAGACATCAGTTCTTAGCTCCTTATCGAGGAATCCGATATCATCTCCAAGAGTATAGTGGTTCGGGTCATGAGCCTAGAAACGAAAAAGAGTTGTTCAATCTTATTCATGCTTTTCTATAAAATATCGTCAAGAGGATATTTGGTATTTTAAAATCACGATTCCCGATTTTAAGGATTGCACCTCCATTTCCATATGCAACACAAGTGGAGGTAGTATTAGCTTGTGCAGTAGTGCACAATTTTCTTCACAAGGAGTGTAGATCGAATGAGTTTCCTATTGAACCAGATGATGAATCTTCTTCGTCTCCACCATTGTCAGCTTCTGAAGGGGATCTTGACCAAGATTTTCAAACACAAGAACAACAACGGAATATTGCTAATGAATGGAGATATAATATAACTTTGGACATGTGGAGAGATGCTCATAATGATAACAATGTGAATAGAGGATAATGAGTCACAAATAATTCTAGTGTGGTAGTGATGAATTTCCGATGATGTTCTTGTAATGTTAGGTTTTGTGGTTGCGTTCGAGAAAGCAAAAAAGAAAGAAGAAAATATTACTTGTAATGATGAATTTCTGACTAATATAAGGTTTTGTGGTTATGTTTGAAACTTGGAATTTGGAATTTCATTTGATTGCTTAGCTACTACGATGACATTATTATTCTATGTATTTGAGTTCATGATTGTGCTTGCTAACACTTCAAATTTATTGTTAATGGATCTCCTTTGATTCGAAATGTTTATGTTTCTTGTGCATTATTTCATTTTATGTTATAAGATTCAACTAATAAATCCTAAGAAATCCACAAAAGAAATTCATACAAATCCATACAAATCTATAATAGAAATCCATATAAATCTGTCGAAATCCATATAAAAGTGAGAATCTTTTAAAATCCTTTAAAATCTATCACCTAAAAAAAGTATATTAAAATCCTGTGAAATTCAAATCGACTACACCCCCTAAAATTTGAAAAATGTAAAGTTGGGTCATGCATTGTGATGGATGTTCATGCTATCAGGACTGCAAAAATATTGAGATAAAAATTGTTGTTTTGAAAGAACCTAATTGCGTGATGATATTGGTGAACCGGTTTGACGCAGAAAGTTTTCACGTCAAATTCCTAAGCTCAGCAGTACGAACGTGCTAATAACGTGTTGTGGCGTATATTTAGGTGACAGGGAAGGGGGGCCAGCAGCACAGAGAAAGAATAGAGAGAAATGTGTTTGCAGGGTTGTGTAGAGGATGTGTTGTTATTTCCTCTAGGCAATGCCTTTATTTTATAGTAATAAGAGAGAGGAAATATTTCTCCTCCAAGGAATACAAATTCTAATAGAAAACATAAGTAAAATCTAACCTAATCTAGGATTTACTGTGACATCCCACATCACCCAGGGGTGTGATCCTTATATGTACATCCCATCCCTACTTAGCACGAGGCCTTTTGGGAGCTCACTGGCTTCGGGTTCCATTGGAACTCCGAAGTTAAGCGAGAAGGGGGCTTGAGCAATCCCATGATGGGTGACCCACTGGGAAGTTGCTCGTGAGTTCCCAAAAACAAAACTGTGAGGGAATGGTAAGCCCAAAGCGGACAATATCGTGCTACGGTGGTGGAGCGGGCCCGGGAAGTGATCCGTCCCGGGCCGGGATGTGACAATTTGGTATCAGAGCCTAACCCTGGTCGCGTGTGTGCCGACGAGGACGTCGGGCCCCTAAGGGAGGTGGATTGTGACATCCCACATCGCCCAGGGGAGTGATCCTTATATGTATATTCCCATCTCTACCTAGCACGAGGCCTTTTAAGAGCTCACTGGCTTCGGGTTTCGTAGGAACTCCGAAGTTAAGCGAGTAGCGCGCGAGAGCATTCCCAGGATGGGTGACCCATCGGGAAGTTCTCGTGTGAGTTCCCAGAAACAAAACCGTGAGGGCGTGGTCGGGGCCCAAAGCGGACAATATCGTGCTACGGTGGTGGATCGGGCCCGGGTTGTGGTGGGGGCCCGGGCCGGGATGTGACAATTTGGTATCAGAGCCTAACCCTAGTTGTGGTGTGCCGACGAGGACGTCGGGCCCCTAAGGGGGGTGGATTGTGACATCCCACATCACCCAGGGGTGTGATCCTTATATGTATATCCCATCCCTACTTAGCACGAGGCCTTTTGGGAGCTCACTGGCTTCGGGTTCCATTGGAACTCTGAAGTTAAGCGAGAAGGGGGCTTGAGCAATCCCATGATGGGTGACCCGCTGGGAAGTTGCTCGTGAGTTCCCAAAAACAAAACCGTGAGGGAATGGTAAGCTCAAAGCGGACAATATCGTGCTACGGTGGTGGAGCGGGCCCGGGAAGTGATCCGTCCCGGGCCGGGATGTGACATTTACACAATTACACTTAAATAAGAAATTTATAACAAAAAAATAATAATTGTCTCATTTTTTTGTATCGTCAGGGCAAGATTCCAATAATTGGGAGGAATTAATGACAATTTAAGACTACAAAACAAATTCCAAACTATATTTATTTTTTTTTCTTAGATATTGTTTGAGACTAAAATTTTAAATTAAATTATTAAATAAAATGATATGTCAGTAATAGAAAATACATGCGTTTATTGACACTTAATTAATAATTCAATTATCAACAATTATGTTATTTGGTTTACAAATTTTAATTTAAAAATTTGATCTCTCTAACATTACCAAATTTTACAGACCACAGTTCTCATTACCAAACTTTACAGATCACAGATCGGAATTCTAATGAAGTTCATATTTTTTTTTTATGTTAATATAGTCTAAATTTAACACAGCACCGCTCACCTGAATAAATTAACACGGATTTGGATAACCAAAACAACAACTCATTAACCCCGGACCCAAACAATTACTTAAACAGTAGAAACCAAACCGCCTGAACCGGACGGGATCATCCGACGCTCAGTACGACCCCGTTTCTCAGCACCCTCGATGTCGGCCGAGTTACAGTAGTTCCTGATGGCGGTGAGCTCGTAGGGCCACGTATCGGTGGCGAGCCACTGCTCGACGGTGAACAGCTGTTGATGGCAAGGAATATGGACCCCTGTGGAGGTGACCTCGACGTAGTTAACGTACCAGCCGTGGTGGGGGCCGGAGCCGTCAGAGGTGAGATTGAGAGCGCAGATCGGGGAGTCGAGGCAGGGACCTGGGCCGCTGAATATGTCGAGATTGCCCCTCTCGAAGTAGTTGTAGCCGGGACCCATCAGGCCGCCCCAGGCCTCGAGGTTCGTGATCTCGATGCCGTATCCGTACACATCGTAGAGGCGGAGGTTGACGTTCGAGTCCGTCCCGCCCTTTATGATCGACCCCGTGCGAACGTACACCGTGTACACACAATCCGGGTCCTGCAAATACCCATATTATTATCAAACACCAAAAATTAAATCAGAGAAAATGAAAAATAAAATAAAAAAAATAAAAAATAAAAAAACTAACGAAAAATCTAAAAAAACTTCACTTTAATGAAAAGCTATTTTTAAAGGTATAATGAATAGAACCAGGAAAATGTATAAATGTGATTTTTCATTAAAAATGAACAGTACCAGGAATGTTTTGTTAAACCTCCCAAAAAAAATGAAAACTTACGTCGGAGAAGGCGAGGGTGAGGAGGAGGGAGAGGAAGAAGGAGATGAAGAGATAGTTGACGGAGTTGCTGGATGCCATATTTGCGAATTGCGAGGGTGAAGCCTGGTCGAGTGAGTGGTATATTATTTAGACCTTTATATGGTGGAAAATGATATGCTATTTTGACTATTGCGCACACGTTGATGTCTGTTTTGGGGGATGATTTAGTCATTCGGTGTGAATGATACAGATTGGCCCATGTATTTCTGCCACTTGCCACCCTTGTAATGGTGAGATAAGAACAACGTCGGGCTCGGTACACTGTTATAATAAAGGTAATGCTAGGGTTTAGGAAAGGAGGGTTCAAAAATATGAGTATTGTTAGGGAAATTAAATTTATAAATTAAATGATGTGTCATCAATAGGAAATGAGTACGTTTATTAATGTTTAAATAATAATTCAATCATCAATTTTCATATTATTTAGTTTACTAAATTTAATTTACAAATTCAATCTGCCTAGTATTACTTCAAAAATATTACTAATGCTCACCTGGCTTTTTGCTTTTTCATTCCTCGTGATGCTTATCTTTTGTAAGATACAATTTTTTTTTTTTTTCTTAATATTCACGTTCAGTTTAAATTGGCTCTCTGGCCCTTTCCCTATAAGAAGCCATTGATAACATTTTGTTTTGTGATAAAACAAAAGAGAAGAGTCACACGAAGAAAGAATAAGGTAAGTGATCTTTAAGAATTGAATCGACACTTCAAAAAAACTTTATTATTGCTCACATTATAATCCCGAATTGAATCGACCCTATACCCTCACCTTAATGTAAATTAGATTAACTATCTTTTGTCAAAACTAGTGTGTAAAATCTTCTTCTTTTTTAATGTTAAAGAGTGTAAAAATCATTAGTCATGGATTGCTCTAGACGCTCTGTGTATAGCTTGATTGGCCTCTAAAACTATTCTGTGCAATACAAAATCTTGATCGCAATCACCGGATGCGAGAATGTTGTTTGATTTGACCAAAATAAAATAAAAGTAATGTGGTTTGGATCGTAAGTACATCAGCTAAGCGACGAGAGACCGGACTTTCCTCCACATATACGTTTTTTGTCGCACCTTCATTGTTTACTTTGGAGAAAGTTGTAGAACTTTCAAGCATACTTTTGTTTTGCTCGAAAGCATGAAAAGCTTTACACAAAAAAAATAAAAATCAAAAATAAATAAATCAAAAATCAAAAAATTCAAAAAATAAATAAACACACACATGAAAAGCATATTAGAATGATATTTGTAGAATTATGAGTGACAATATTGATGTGTGAAAAATATTACAATATATACAAGATTATTTTAATTTTATTGATGTAGGAATTATATACTAATAACAATTGGAAATTACATTCGTATATTATATGCTACAATCACGGAGAAAATTCCAAATTAATTAATGCTATCCTAACGTCATCACCCCCAAGCAAACTAGACAAGCTGGATCCAAAACAAAGAAGACCATGACGAGCCTAACGAAGAGCTTTAGTGAGAAGATTGACTGGTTGATCACCAAAAGGAATGTAACAAACACGATGACTACGAATAGCAACTTTCTCACAAACAAAATGAGGATAAAGTTTGATTTGACACGTGCAAGCATGATGAATTGGATTGGTTGAAAGGTAAATAGCGCTTAAATTATCACAATGTAGTGAAATAGGAAATGTCAAGAGAACCCCAATTTCACCAAAAAGGATGCAAGTGGTCTCAACACATGCATGAGCAAGCGAGCGATACTTAAACTCAACACTCGAGCGAGAAATAGGAGCCTGCTTTTTGGACAACCCTCCAA